TTGGAATCGAAAAGCTATCGGAGCCGCCCGCCTGCAGTTTGTCAATCTTCGCCGCTCCACCGGCGGTTCCACGATGCAGGCTGCAGCTCACAGAAGAATGCTTGTTAGTTTACGTTTGATTTTAGACTTGGACTGCTGGAATGCCCTGGGGGACCTATGTGACACATACATGCGATGGTTATCATGTATTGTGCGCTTCCTCGCGAAACGTTTATTATGCTAGGTCATCAGGGGTCGAATGTAATGTCATTTACTACAATATCTTTAGCGGCTGGAGCAAATATTACACGATATCACGTAAGAATGCAATGTTAACCCATCCTTGTTTGGCTAATGCGATGTAATCCATGGTCGCCTTGTGGGGTCGGTTCGAAGGACGTTCCGTTGTTGACGTAGTTACAGCATGCTTCGGGGCGGAGACAGTTTGCCTTCGAGCCGGGCTGTGACGGAGGCCGACTGGGGCACCGCCTCGTCTCCTCCTGATTGCTTAATCTTCTCCCTGTTTCCTCTTTTTCCCGACATGCGTGTCGTACCAAAAGCCCCGGGGCCGATGGGGGGGGGGGGGGGAGGGCTTCGGAAAACAAGTCAAACCTTTGTGGAGCGCGCCTCGACTGACCAGGCCCGGCCGTCGGCTGTCTTCTGATGCTGGAGATGGCTGATGTGATCCAGCTACTGCTCGACTGACCAGGCCCGGCCGTCGGCTGTCTGCTGATGCCGGAGACGTCTGATGTGATCCAGCCACGGCTCGACTGACCACGGCCGGGTCCAGTGGGCGCTCCGTTATGACGCCGCGCGCGTCCAACACAAACAGTTCCGGGTTGCGACGTTTGGCAGAAGAGCATCGGCCGGACCCCGTGCCCCCCCCCCCCCCCGGGCATCACTCTCGGACCAGCGTCGCTGCAAGCGTGATCCCGATCGAGGCAGCGCGAGGTTCCTCAAATCTACGGGTGTCAGGCATCAGGGCAGGGTGTCGGATGTTAGGGCAGTCGGGGCAAATGTTAGGGCAGGGACGAATTCAAAGAGGAAAGAACACCGGGGCACGTGCCTCCCTCAACAAATATTTACACGTGTTCCGTGAGTGGGTGTCGCGCGTGAATGAATGTGGCGGGTTTAACAGCTCATGCTCTTACGGATGGGACGGGACGAAACAATTTTTTGCACCACCTGAAGCAAGTGAACTTGGTCGTACTACGTCTCGTTTGCACAGAGTATTGGCTTGTCGTGACAGCAGCGAAAGGGATGGAGCGCATTATGGGGCTGTAACTTTTTTGAAACTACTTGAATAGAGTTAGAACGCGATGGTTTACGTGAAGCGTTGTCATCCCGCCATTGAAAAAGAACAGTGAAGTTTTGGCTAGCCAGAGAACCAGACCAGTAAGATTCTTTTCAAAACGTGCAGAAGAGATTATCAGAGGTGTAGTTTTCATCAGTCAGTCTCAGTCATAACACCAATTTGGAACGTGACTTGTGCGCACGGCCTCTTCGGCTGCTCCTACAACTCGGCACTAGCGACTGCGTGGTTAGTTGCTGTATTTTTTTTCATTTTTACAAAACATAACATAATGCAACACCGTGCACAGGCGATGGAAAACCAATCCAACTCTGCACAACTGTGGACAACTGTTTCTCGGTAGCGACATGGCAGGCTAGGCCTGCAAATTTCAAAGGCCAATCCACCGCATTCTACATTGCGACATTTGCAAGTCGGCCCCGTATCAGGTACCCAGCCCGGCGGCCGGACCGGGCCGGTGAGTCATGCAGGAACCCAGCCTCTTCCGGCGATGGTATCTGAAAAGCAACACTGCCTCCGAGTCCTCAGAGTCCTCGGAAGCCTCGTCAGGCGCGACCCGTTCGGTGGCTGCTGTTTATCAGCGAGCGGTGTGGCAGGGTAGCGGCGTATGCTTCTCGCTTGGCTGCATTGGCCGTCAGCATACACTGGCAGCTGTCGTCGTCAGACACGCTGGCAGCTGTCGTCGTCCGCACACGCTGGCAGCTGTCGTCGTCAGCACACAATGGCAGCTGTCGTCGTTAACACAGAAAGCTATCGTCAACACGCACTGGCTCACCGTCAGCACACAGTGGCAGTTATAGTTGTCAGCACGCTTGGCAGTTGCAATCGTCAGCACGCACTGGCAGTCGTAGTCGTCAGCACACACAGCCATCGTCAGCACACTAGCAGCTGTTGTCAGCGCAGACCGGCACCTGTCGTCATCAGCACAGACTGGCAGCTGCACCCGCCGTAGGGCTAGGACAGCCCGAGCAGCGGCCGCTGACCGTCAGACGCCAGTTGTTGACAGTTGACAAATCGTGTCGAGCGCCGAACCACCGATCATAACCGCACCCGCGCCTTACGGATCCGGTAAAAACCGTGGTCCGGTCACGTGATCCCGTGGCCGTTGTGGCGGCGTCCCAGAAGCCCGCGGTCACGTGCGGCCGAAGGCGCGGCGTGGCGGAGTCTGGGTGTGGGTGGGAGCTGATAGCGAACGATGACGTCACTGGTTCAATTTTGTGCACTGTTAGACAGGTGTGTCTGAAGCCCTCAGAATTAAAACGTTTGAATCTTGTTACTTGCCGGGAGTAAAGTGTTTGAATCTTGTTACCCGCCGGGAATCATCCAAGTAACAAGATTCAGACGCAGCAGACGGGTTTTTATGTTTAAAGCGTGGAACTTCGTAAGAATTTGAAAGCAAATCAGGTGGAGTGTTGTAGCAAGCAAAACATTGTTTTTAATGTCGTCAACCGTATCATCATGATCCGTCTGTCAAGTGTGGTCGGTGGGTATGTATATCCGGCCCGGTACAGAAAAAAACAAGGTTTTTACAAGCAAACGCGCAGTGATGTAAAACAATGCATAACACGTCAGCCAGCGCTAATTCGATTAGCATAATCTTTGCATGTGAGAACGTGGCCAGTGACGTCACTGGCTGATTCGATCGGAGCAATGTTGGCAGTTCATAATGGACAGCGCTTTGTGTTTGACAAATGGCCATGACGTCACTGGCTCACTCGATCGGAGCAATGTTGACAGCTCGTAACGAACAGTGATTTGTGTGTAACAGGTGGCCAGCGATGTCAATGGCTCAATCGATCAGAGCAAGGTTGGCAGCTCGTAACGGGTTGTGTTTTGTAAGTGAGATCTTGGTTGTGACGTCACTGGCCCACTCGATCGGGGCAAGGCTGGCAGCTCATAACGAATTGTGTTTTGCATGTGAGAACGTAGCTAGTGACGTCACTGGCTCGCTCGATCAGGACAAGGCTGGCAGCTTGTAACGGACAGTGCTTTGTGTGGGGCGAGTGGCCATGACGTCATTGGCTCACTCGATCGAGGCAAGGTTGGCAACTCGTAACGGACCATGCTTTGCGTGTGAGAGCGTGACCAGTGACGTCACTGGCTCACTCGATCGGGGGAAATTTGGTAACTCCTAACGGACCGTGCTCGGCAGCGTGTCTCGCGTGCTGAGGCACACTGAGCGGCTCAAAATACGTCATCAGCTAACTTCGATCAGCACAACACGTGGCAGGGTCGCTATTGCGAGTCATTTTCGCGAGAGGTGTGTTTTTCCAAGCAAATCAGTCCATTAGCTCCTCCCGAATATGTATGATTTGATTTATCTTTTTTGCTTCGCTCGTTGTGAATTCATCTGTATGATTCCGTGCGATTCCAACATTGACGAGTCCCGGAAAGCACGAAAGGCATGACATGCACCAGAGCTCAGCACGTAGGCGGCAACTCTCACGACCCCGTCAGCGCACCCACAGAAAAGGGGCCGTGACATGTACACAAGCCCAAAGTCGGCGTACGAGGCATCGCAACTCGACCATACGTGCTCCTGCGAACCTGCACGTAAACCCGCGCTCGAGCCCAAACTGCAGGCAAGACCGGCGATCTCGAGAGTGCCCAATCATACAGCTAAAAATGACGCTGTTTAGATCGGGTGCATGTGTACGTGACTAGCGCAATTTTATGGATGCCTAGGCGCAGTGTAGTATCCGTTTACACAACTCCTTTACGCGCAGTGTGAGCTACTTAAGCTAAGGCCGCTTGTCACAGTCCGCTACGGTGGCAAAGCTTTTGAGCCGCAGCTGCGTTTAATCCGACTGGTAGTATCCGCCAGCAAGGCTATGGAAAAAGAGGTCCACTGTGTGGCGTCTGATTGTTATCGTCTGGTGGTCCCCTTTCATCAGTGTCACCAGCAAGGCCGTGAACTGAAATGCTGAGACAGGAGCACAGAAACCCGACCGTGAAGGGGGAGGGGGGGGGGGTACAAAGAGACGCTAACCCCCCTTCAACTTTCCGCAAACGTAGCGTTGGCCCCATGGTCTTTGATCAGAAAAAATTGTCGGTACTCGCGTGTGCAACAGGAAAACCTACACTCGGGTTAGTGAAACAGGACGCTTTGAGCTACCTTAAGTACATGCCTGTACCGTCACGGTACAGTTATTATGCCGGTTGCGCAACGTGAATAAAATTCTGGTGATATGGAATGCACGTACCCATGCAAAACAGATGTGTGATGCCTGTTTCGAGATAAACATGAGCTAAAACGGAGATAAGAAACTGCCTAGAGATTGAGGTTGGAAGAAAGGTGCAAAGGATGTTTGCATTCATCTCGGAAGATTTGCGAGCTGGACTTGTGCAAATAAAAATATTCTCTAAAAACATTTGATGCCTTGTGATGGTTTATTGATGATTGTGGCACTTTTGATTACATAATACCCTTTATGCATTACAAGGTTGTAATTTTAAGTGCGAATTAAACACAACCTAACCTAGATAGATTGACTGACGCCGCTGCTCGTCTAAGATCTCACCGATGCCGCTGCTCGTCTAAGATCTCACCGAGCCGCTGCTCGTCTAAGATCTCACCGATGCCGCTGCTCGTCTAAGATCTCACCGAGCCGCTGCTCGTCTAAGATCTCACCGACGCCGCTGAAGTTCACAGGTCAGCTGTTGATCTACCGCAGCGGCGATAACCCCAGCGCCCCTTGCGTCTTTCCAGAGACGCCGCGGCGATGCCTGACCTCGTGACGTGACCTGACCCCTGACCCGGTCGCCATGGGCTCCAACGGGGACGTCTGGATGAACGGCGGCAGCGGCGTGCTCCGTAGCGACTCGGTGCCGTCCAGCACGCTGGGCCGGCGCAGGACGAAATCCGGTGAGTTCGGCGCGGCGCTGGCAGCGTGCCAACCGTCGCAGGGGGGGGAGGGGGGAGGGGGGGGGGGGGGCACTGGAGTGCTGAGCGCGCCGAGCTGAATCTCGCGTGACCTTGCCAGAGCAGGTGCGGCCTGGTCGATTGCGTGCCTGACCGTGCCTTCGCAATGCCGCTTCGTTGCAACCAGTTGACGTGGTTAGCTGTGTTCGGTGCTGCCTAGCGGCGAGAGCCGAGCAGCCTGAGCAGACCCTCAATAGATGCTGACCTCTGCTTGAGCCCACTGGAGGTTTTGAATGATACAAAATTGTTAAAACGTTCGCAATCGATTTTTGTTGTGTGTGTGTGCGTGTGGGTGTATGTTGCACGTGTATGTGGCCGCAAGAGCCCTGGATACCCATCCTTCCCAACCACCACAAAGTCTTGTCCCAGGCGCGTACCATTGTTCTCTGTTGTAGTGGCAGAGACTTATCCTGCGCGAGTGTGAGGGCGTTTTTAAGACGTACTTTCCTTGCTTCGGTGCCAGATCTTATTCGTCTAAGCATAGGCAAGGGAGGTAGGGGGTAGAAGACAGCCCCGACTCTGTGCTTCAGCTTAGCATTAGCTCTACGCTGTTGCGTGAGACCAAATGCCAGCCATTTGATTTGGTCGTCTCCTCTTCATTCTCTGGCGTTTGTGCTCTGCCAGGCGTGAAAGAACGCCATAACTCACGCGGCCGTAGCCGGTACAAGCATCGATAACAGCCTGGAAGCCTGTAGATGTCGGCCCAGGCGCCGGGCCTCATACGGACATGTGTCCCCAATCGTCGGATGTCCTGCAGCTTTAGCGACCAATCAGATGCGGTTCCTGCAGCTCCAGCGACCAATCAGATGCAGCGCCGCTTGCTCGCCATCTCTGCTGGTGCAGCGGATCCCTGTGACCTTGACCGCACGTGATCAAGCCGTTTCCGGGTGACTGACGCCGGTCAGCTGGCGACCAAGCCGGCGAGAATAGTCGTTAGAAATGACGCCAGCATAGAACTTTGAAATGGGCCAGGGCTCTTATAGCGGGTGACGTTTGTATTGTTAGCAGGTCGTGCGCGTGCATGCAAATGTGAACATGAAATTTGGTGCACTGAAATGTTTCTTTGCTGGATATTTTTTGCCACACACGTGCTGTATCAGGTCAAAGTTCGGCAAAACAGCGGTTATGAATTTGACGGAGAGATTAAGCTGACCTAAGTATTATTTTTTAGTATTGTGTAGCATTTAGTATGTGAGTATTAATATTAGTGGTACGGCTGCAATAATTGTTCGAACTTGTCTTCGTCTGGCGTGACAGCATGCTCACGGTGCTGCGGCCAACCAACTCCCCTACCATCGTCAGGTGTTACGGAGTCCTGAGAGGGGCTAGATGGCAATTGCCTTTCAGTTAAGCACGCGTCCTATTCTGTCCTGGGAATGCCGAGATCTGAACCAGGGTTTTCTCGTTGCGAGTCCAGTGTTCTACCAACTGAGTCCTTTGTAGTAGCTCAGTTTCTTGGTGATTGTAGTAAGTGGAGCGCTAAATTAACAATCAAAAACCCTGGTTCAAAATCAAGGATTCCAAGAAAAGAATTTGGTTTGTGGCGCATAAATGGCTGATAGCCCACCATCCTCCAGTCTATTTTAAGACCTCATACCACCTGATGACGGCCGCAGAGTTTGACTTCCAGTCTTCAACTGGTGTAAACGTGACGTGCATACTAATATACCAGACGAGGACGACGATTCGCGCATTAATCCATCCGTGAAATGCCAGTAGCCGTTTTATAGCTGGACTCAGTCGTACACTTGGGTCATTTCAGGGTTATGGGTTAGACACACAATGCATAAGAAGCGGGACAATTCGAATTCTAGTCTAAATGAAACACGCGTTTCAATTTTTGTCACGTAGCCTGAGTATCGGCCGCCTGCACGTCTCCGTGTGTGCTTCGACAGAACGCGACACCGGGTACCTGGAACACGGACGAGGGTCAGAGGTCAGGGGCCAGAGGACCGCGCTATTGGTCCGGACTGACCGCTTGGTCACAACGGACACAGTCACACTGTGTTTGCAATTCAGCCACCTTGATTCAGGCCGATGGAGTGTTCGTGTGAGGGACAAATGTCATGTCGGAGGATGTTTTATCAACGGCAAAGCCTGCGTTCTCACCAGTCATCGTTACGTCCGTTACATACGTTCTGCCATCTTAACCAGTCCAGGACAGGCGTGTGTTTGTGGATCTTCATGTGCATTCCTCACACCTTCTGCTAAGTATACATTACTGCAGGCGTATGCTCATGGGTTGTGCTTAATTGCATTGGACAGAGTCAGACAGGCGACATCACATTCGACAGCTGCTCTTATGTTTATGATAACCATGTCCGTGGCATGTCCGTGAAGGAATTTACTCGCTGCGATCCACGTCGTAATGCAATCGGTCATTCTTACCACAGCAAACACCATGTGGTGCTTTTGTAAGATGTCAACAGAGAGAGCAAGAATATCGAAGGGAAATTGTGCCTCTTGGGGATTGTGGCATGTTTATCTACACGACTGCCACCATGATCACACTTAACTTGGTCACATGAGGTTGTAAGAGGATGATACGCTACTGATACCAGGGTCTGGTATTTATTTTATGCAGTTACAAATTTCAAAACAATCTGAACTATCACTCCTGGTGCCCGGTCGTATACGCCACGTTGATACGATGTCATGGTTCGTATTTACCCAGCACGCGAACCCAACCGAAAAGACTATAACCTGTCTCCAACTCGGACGTCGACGATGGCCGATGTTAAATATCACATGTCGTCGATAGATATTGGTCAGCCTGAGTCACCAGGCACGTGGTGTTCGTGTCGCAGTCCGTCTTTCACGTTCTAAGCGCTTGTGCTGGCGGTTTTCCTTCCAAGCTTCGGTCTTTTTCGTATTTTCATTCAATTGCGTCTTGCATCCTGTGCAAGCATGTGCTGACTGGTTTTCCACACAGCCTGTCCTTTTGTTTCAGGTCCCAAGCGGGTGACCTTCAAGCTCGAGTCCGAATCCTCGCCGACAGATGACACTATCTCCTTTGCCGAAGCGCCTGCCGATGGTATGCCCTCGTGGTGGCCCCGCCCTGCCGACCCGGGTCTGGGTCAGACGGCCGTGCAGACTGCTGGGAGGCCCGCTCAGCATGCGCAGCCGTCGACAGCACCCTCGTTGGCCGCGACACCCCTGGCGCCCATCCACGCACCCACCGCAGCGACGCCCCGCGCCACTTGAGGACCGGAAGGTCGTGTCCGGGTTGCTGATCGGTCAAGGTCACCCGGTGGACAGTGCGGTGTGGTATCCGAGTGTGAACGGGTCCGGGAGCTCTCCCCGGCCTGCAGTTGCGGCACCTGCGTCAATCGCAGGCCACAACGAGGGCGGAGGCTCCGCGCCCCCACCAGTCACAGCGCAGAACCACTACTCGTCACCGCGCGCACCTATCGGGTATCAGGTTCCGCACTCGGGTCGACCGGTCTCTCCAATCGAACGTCACGGAACACCGATTACCCAGCCAATGGCCAGCGGCCAGCCTCTTGTGCCTTCGTGGTGGCCAAAGACCCTCCTCTAAAGAGCCTCAGAGCCAGCCGGAGCCCGAGTACTACGATAACACCTCGGAGGAGTGGCATGCGAGGAACTCGCGGCCGGCAATCCCAGCTCGGCTCCCTCCAGCTCCCAGCGTCGGTGTCACGGAGCTGACGTCATCGAACGCCGTGGCCGGCCAGCGACAGTCCGTGCGCGTCGGTGGCGGCCCTCTAGCGGCGGCCGGCGGCCCTCTAGCGGCGACTGGTGGCCCCCTGGCGGCGGCTGTCGACGGCAGGCCCTGGGAGAGGGCCGCTACCCGCAGTGCCATCTGGCGAGCGCGGACAGTCCCCAGACAAGTCATCTAGTGACCGGAGGTCGTTCCCGGATCAGCCAATTCTCACCCCTTCTGTCACGGTCAAACCATCCGTCGCTCATCAGCGCCCCGCAGCCGAGTCGCGTGGTGTTCTTGGGGCCACCGCCAGATGTCACCGCCGGCGCCAGCTCGCCGAGCGTCACATCAACGGAGGCCGACTCGACACACCCGAGCGAGGAGGATTTCCTGCACCTCTCGCCGTCGCCAGCCCGACGCCCCACGTCCGCGGCGGCCCGTGACGTCAGCGGTGACGTCACAGCTGACGTCAGCGGGCGGCAGCAGAAGCCGACGCGCGCGGAGTCCGTCTGGAGCCGGTTGCTCTGCACGGCCTCCGATGGAGCTGCGGAGAAGGACGCTGAGGAGCCAGCGGGGCTGCAGGGCCGCTACCGGGACACACTGGCGAGGAGGCCGGCGCGGGTGGTCACGTCTCCGCCGCCGCCGCCGCCGCCCCCTCCCGCCCAGTGTCAGCCCACGCAGCAGCCGCAGGGACAGCAACAACATGAAGGACTTGCAATGCAGCAGCTGCGACAAGAGCTTCAGGAGCTCAGAGAGCAACGGGCACGCCAACAACAGCAGGCAGAAGAACGACGTCTGCTGCTGGAGAAGCAAGAACGGCAGCAACGGCTTCAACAGCAGCAGCAGCAGCAGCAAATGTTTGAACTGAAACAGCGCCAGCAGGAACAAGAGCAGCAGCGTCAGCTGCTTGCACAGCAACACCAGCAGCAGCAGCTGCTAGAACAGCGTCAGGAGAAGGAAGACCAGCGACGCCTGTGGCTGACACAGGAGCGTCCGCAGCCGCAGCGGAGCCTGGACGTGAACTGGAGAGAGAGCAGTGACACGCGGCTGGAGGCGGGCGGCGGACGCCCTTCCAGCGCCCTGGAGGCGACGGTCCGGGCCGCGCCGACGCCGACGGCAGTCACGATCAGCGACGCCGCGCGGGACTGGGGCAGAATATTTGATGTGGACGTAAGCGAGGCGGGCGCGTTGGGACGGGCGCCGACGGCGCGCGCGCCGCAGCAGCGCGGGCCCGCAGCCATCAGCGGCGTCAGCCCTCCCGGCGCGGCGGAGGCACTGGTCCGCGGCTGGGAGGGGGACGGGTCGTGGCGTACGCCCAGCGGACCTGCGACGCCCGTCAACGGACCGACGGCGCAGGAGAGCAGAGCGGCGGACTTCCGGCCGAGCTCCGCCCCGGTCGGGTCCGAGGCTGGTGCGGAGCCGGGCGGAGTCTCGTTCCAGCGGAGCTTCCAGTCCCCGCCGGTGGGGGTCGCGCCCGTCGCCGTCTGCCCAGCCGTCTCGGGCCGAGGGTGACCGGCAGTTCGACGCGACAGGGAGAGTTGGCGCCCGCAGCAGCCCCAGCCCGCTGGATGACGAGCTCGAGATCTGCCTCAAGTCCGTCGAGGAGGCAATGGCCTCGCTGCAGGACAGCGTGAATAAAAACGCGAACAGGCGGGAGGCGGCGGCTGACGCAACGCGGCAGAATCTCAACCGCAGCTTTGAAGTGGTGCCGTTAGGTGGCGGTGGGAGCGGGCACTGGCGAAGGAGGAGCTTTGACGGTGCAGAGTTGGAGAACTTCGACAGGAAGAGGATGTGGGGAAAAAACAATGACGACGAAACCGAGGCCGCGGGCCAAATGCAGCTCGTAAAGGTGCGTACAGATTATACATATTTTCTCTTTCCTTGAAGAAGCGTTTAGCATAATGCACGAACTTGTTCAGCCTAATGCATGATCTTCGTGTGTGTGGAATGATGCTTATTCAGTGTGTAAACGAGTCGTGTCGATTATTTTGCTTCATTTCTCTTTGAACGAGGCTGACATAGAACATAATCCGCGTATTTTTCCTTTTTTAAGCGAGGGTCCTCGTTGACGTATTATGTTGCTAGAAAGCCAAGGATAGTCACTATACTCGAGTTTCTGTTCGCGCTTGGTAGTTTGTCTTCATGATAGGAGTTTTCCTGCCCATATAATTTGATAAATTATCATAAGCGTAACAACATCTTAAGTGTTGCTGGGTCCGGTCCTGCTCCGGTGCGACATTTTGCAGGGTTAAAATGAACATGTTGCAATTTGTTGCAAATTTACTAAGGTCCTGACTCCGGACTCTCTCGATCTTAGCAACGTTTACGCGAATGCATGCAATATTCAGTTTCAAGCATGAAGGCTTCTTTAACACTGCTACCACGTTTAAGAAGCGAATTACTAGTGCGAATCCTTATTTTCACTCTTGACATGTAAGGAAGACCACCTTCCTTAATTTTCTTCCTTGCGTGCGTTTTTCTTCCTTCCATAACGCATGCTTGTTTTGTGTGTGCCGTACAGTTTTTTTGTGACGTGCGTTGCTGTTTGAACTCACTGAACAGAAACGGATCGCCCATTTAGCACTGACGGCGTTCATGCGACATTAAGGGACATTAGGCACTGCCTCAACCAATTTAAGAGTCCACTTCAGCATTCTTAAAGAAGGTATTGCATGATAAAGCTTTCGTTTATCACGACACATTTCAACGCATTTTATACCTCGTGCCGTCTAGATCTATAGTCATCATGTCAAACTTCAAAATTTGCTCCAAACCTTTTCAGTATGACATGCATATCTTCTCGTGGTATTTTAGTTGTATTTACATTTATTTGCCTATTTAGAAACATTGCCTGGTTACTCGTCAAAACTTTGGGTACTAAGGCATCCTTGCCGAACCTATGCCAAGATTTCGGCCGACAACCTTAGCTAGGACTTAAATTCCTTAAGTATCTCGGCCAGAGATCGGCACTTTATGTCCGGGTATCTCGCATCAGCACCGGCGCAAGAAGATGACGCATTCCAATGTTTCTGGTCCCAATGCAAGTGGCCGGGATACGCAAATCACACATCTGATCGTCAGTTGGGAGCTTTATTAGCTTGAGAGCACGAGGAAAGAAGATCATTGCAGGCCATAGCTATGCATCTGCCTAAATGATCATGTTTCGTTTCAGTTGCTATTTAGCTGTCCTATTAGCTGAGGCCGCCACTGAATATGATTAAGACGCGCTCGTGTAGGGGTCAATTTAACCCCTTCTATGGGGTTTTCGAAAATAGTTTGTGAACGACGCGGCAGAAACGTGCCAAACCTTGTGTATATATAGACCATTGAACGGTGGATCTTTTGACATAAAACAAGTCGATATACTTTGTAAGATCACTGAACTACGCCAGGTCCAATCAGTTCATACCTGGCGACGAAAATAATTGCTATGGAACAAAGCCGCTTTTTTACTGGAAAATTTACTTTCTGAAGTAGTTCGAAGGCTCATTTCGCATTTCTGGATCACAACGACGTCAAAAGACTTATATTTTTATTTCATTTAAGTCAGGAAAGATCACTGGCCTAAAATGGCCTCGATCGATTCACACCATGTCATGTTGCATGCGTCATATGTCTTACTACAGCACGCATTGGTCCTGTGTTTCGTTTCGTTTTCGTTAGTTTTTTTAGTTCTAGTTTTTATTTCGCATCGTGTGGCCTTGCACTTCTTGGCGCGCCGTCCTTGGCGGCTGATGCGCTTCCAACGTTGTGAGCCGGGCAATAACAGCCAGATCTGTGCGACGCTTGGGTAAACAACAGCCGACGACCAGACCCGGCGACACGGCGTCTGGCAGAGGGCGGACCCCGCGGCTGGCCCCCGACCGGTGACCTCACGCGCTGACCTGTGCCAAGTAACTCGCGCGCTGACCTTGTTCGGGGTGACTCAGCCGCTGGCCTGTGCTAGGTGACTCACATGCTGACCTGTGCCAGGTAATTCACATGCTGACCTGTGCCGGGTGGCTCACATGCTGACTTGTGCCAGGTAATTCACATGCTGACCTGTGCCGGGTGACTCACATGCTGACCGTGCCGGGTAGTTCACATGCTGACCTGAGCCGGGTGACTCACACGCTGACCTGTGCCGGGTGACTCACATGCTGACCTGAGCCGGGTGAATCACGAGCTTACCTGTGCCGGGTGACTTGCACGTCGATCTGTGCCGGGTGACTCACCTGCTGACCTGTGCCGGGTGACCCACACGCTGACCTGTGCCGGGAGACCTCGCACGCTGACCTGTGCCGGATGGAGGCCATCTGAACCGGTTAGCTCGGTTGGGCACAGAATGCTAAACTCGGTAGAGCACTGGACTCCTAATGGGAGGACTCTGGTTTGAATCCTAGCAATTCCAAGGAGATAACTGGGGCCATGACGCACACGTGGCTAAAGGCCAAACACCATCCAGTCTTTGTAAGGACTCCATAACATCTGACTATCGTCGGGGATTTAAACGGCCGAAGTGTTGTACATATTAACGCACCA